AGGGTCGCACAGAGTATTGGTGCGGAGGGAGGAGGCCCGGGTCACAAGGTCAGTGCTTGGTGAGGTGGAAACACTGAGATATTCTACTGGTCTCCTCCGAACAGATCATTATCAAGGTTAGGGAGATAAAGTCCTGACAAGGTAATATTGAGCAAGGCGTAACCACCTCAGTAATCTGTGTGGCTTTCAAGGTTACTATTACGTTTCCTTAATTCCGTCTTCAACAGTTTCTATCACTGACATGATAGTAGGAACAAGGGTCGAGGGACAAGGGTCAAGGACCCCATTGGAAATAAGCTGCCACCCAGCTTTCATGGGATATCCTTGGTAAAAGCTTAGTCATCATACAGATACATTGTATTTATAGTGCTCCAAAATTTGTGATATATTAACCTTGATGTGATAATCTAAATACTGTGAAAAATCTGTGATTATTATGCAATAGAAATCTGTGATCATATGGGATTATTTGCATGGAAGGATTAAGATACATAGATTTATTCTGACAAAATGAGGATTTAAAAATCCTTTCACAGTCAGCTCTGAAATAAAAAACAATTAAATAAAAGAATTATTCAAAAGTTTACACAGTGTTGCAGACCTATGTCAGGTTTTGTTGCATGTTAAATAAATCCTTTTCAGATTTTTTTTTTATTACTGACATTTAGAAATGTTTATTAAGTTTATAGATTTCTACTTCAAAGGGACAAATACAAATGTATCCCTGCATGTCTTTGAAATGTTATACCCAGTCTAAGTGAAATTGAAAACAAATTCACAAACTTCAAATACACAATTTTGTGAACAAAAATTTCAAAGTAAGGGGATATAATATGCATGATTGACCCTGTAAAGGTGAGAGATGAAGATAAAAAAAAGATTGGAGTTAAAGGTCGGTGAAGCTTGACAATGTCACCAACCTTGAAGTATTGCAGTAGTGGTGTCAACATGTGCATCTTCTCACAGGGCCCCTCGCGTCCCAGCAAACACCTTATCTGGTGCATATTGTAAACCACATACACAGAACTTTATGGGGCATTATACACCACATCATTTACCTAAAACTACTTTAAATAATAACATATATGTACTCTAGTTTATAGAATTTTTCAGATTCCTGGTCTCAATTTTTGACATTTTTATTACAAACTTTTAAAAATTTCAGAAATGAGGAAAATGTTTGAGCTGCTTATAAACTTGATATAGGGCAATATAGGATCTCTCATATTAAGGCACCTTTGAATTGACACAGCTGTTTATAAAAAAAAGGAAAAGCTTAAGGTAGCTGAAGGTAAGCAAGAGTTTAATGCATGTAAAAGAGGGGCAGGGACATAGGTTTGAAGGCAATGAAAGGGGCTAAGGAAGATGAGGGCAAATGAGGGGCTCTGTTTAATGTTATTAAGGTGAGGTCATGAAAGGGATTAAGCTCATGAAATGAGGACTCAAAAGAGGCCAGGAATGATGAGGGTATGGAAGGGTTCAGATGGATGAGGCAGACTGATCAAAAAGGGAGGCTGAATTAAGGGTACCTGTCATTGGAAGGTGCTTTGTTGATTGGAATGGGAAATAACAATCTGGATCAATGAGTATTTAGGGCAGTAGTATAAAACACACTCATTTTAATGGTTCTGTACATCTATACTCGTTTCAAAGCGGTTAACCCACCTTAAAGTCTGAAACTGAACTTCCTCTACACCAAGTAGTATATACACTAACGTTGATTTCCATCCAGAGATTTCCATTGTTGTAACAGACCAACATCATTATTGAACTTAAAGATCGGAACATCATCAGAACTCCGACCTTCATGACCTGACATGTATATGTTACATTAAAGTGAAAAGTATGGAATTCAATAGACGTTCAGTCTGAATCATCTGCATGAGTTAATATTTCAACAAAAGATGGAGCTGATTGAGTATGAATAGGAATCTTGATCAACATCTAAAGCAAGTTGTCTTGATGAGGATCTGATTTCATTGCACACAAGAATAACATTTAATAAAAAGAAGTGTAAAAGTTTGGAGACCATCTGACTAAGGATGATGATATCGAGGTACAGTTAATCTCAACAGATCATAATGATCTTCATCCTGTAACGATAGCCTACTTTCTTTTTCCAAACACAGGGATTCATAACTGGGTGGTTGGGGACAGTGGGAGTTGTCAGAATTTGCATATGAATCTGAAATATATCCTGGTTTGAGATTTTTCTATCTTACATTTTTCAAGTGATAGACTAAGCGAAAAAATGTTATGCATAGAAAACTTTCAGAAGTAACTTTTATCCAACATGTATTGATGTTCTTTGGGATTTTATGTAAAATAACATGACCGACCATAAATGTGTGATAACCAACTTAGGGATATATGCTACCTTTCATGTTATTTGAGAACAGTTATCTCCCTTGAGAATTGTTTCAATTTGCTAAATGCAAGCTACTATTTATAAAAAAAACCATTCTATATAAACTGTTAATTTCAAACTCTTTTGAAAAGGAGATAATTTTACTGTAAGGTAGTGTATATCCTTAATTCAGAATTATTTATGTAACATACCTCCTTAATTCAAAAATCTTTTTATTAAAGTGTACGTTGTATAATGTTTGTCAAGGATATGTTACCAGTCAGGTCCATTGTGACATCTCATATGAGGTCGATGCAGGTTGGCAGTTAAATTGTGACATCACAAAATATTTACATGCCCACAAGCAGAATTTGTGTGATATATTTTAAACGGTAGTAAAATTGTACAGAGTACAAGAAAACTAATCCTTTAATCCTAGCTAATCATGCTATACTGAAAAAATGTGATGTAACATCCCAGAAACTGTTCCATATCATCTAGGATAAACTGTTTTTCGCCCTTGAACAGTCCCCTGGGCTGTCTGAGCAAATTTGGAGAATTAGAATAATTGCAGAACCATTTTAAAATTCTCCAAAATATAGCCATAATACTTTTTGAAACATGTTGGTAAATCATGATAAAGAGACTGGGACGCTCGGACTAGAAAGGGGTCATACACTTTAAAGGAACTGGGTAGTTAAACTTTGTTACAAAACAAACTCAGATATCTCTATTTCACCCAAAAGTTTATTTTCAGTCAGTTTCTCAGGTCCAATGGTGATTAATTTCCCGGTACCATATTTTAACTCATATCCAATACATTTTTCATGATCCCAACAGCTAGTTGTAACCAAGTGTGACTATCTCTACAGAGCACTCCAACAGAATAACGCAGTAAAATAGTAAAATGATGTATGATATATCATAGTCTGTAGGAAAACAGAAGTGATCAACATTAAGAAGAGAACTACCTTGTTTAAGGTCCTCGTAGTGCTGGCCTTAGATGTTACATTATATCATGTTACCTCTGTGTGCCCCAATCCCCAGGTGTCCTGTTACCTGCCCCCTTCCCCATCAGGTGGTCGTTCCGGGTGATGTACCCCTGTATAAAGGCCCTATCTTGTATGGGGTGGCCTTGGCTGCCTGTTGTAAGTTCATGCTATCACACCGTACACCTCTGAGGCACTCTAAACCCTTAATGTATCGTATTGTACGAAAGTCACTAAAGTGTGGCGGAGGGCACTTCCTCGAACAACTGGCAGACGCTACAGCGATTGATCTGTCCTTTGTAATGTGCCAGCGAAGTATGTAACCAACCCTGGGTGTGGATTTCTGGGGCCTGACATCTCCACATTAACCTTCACTGTCCATATCCTATAGAATGTGTGTGTACACCGAGCTGCAGAAATGTCAGATTTCTTCCTATGTTGCAGATAGAAGACTTAAATGTTTCATGGTGACAGAAAGAAAACAGATTTGTATTTAATCATTTGTTCTATTCTCAGGTGATTGATTTTTTCCCCCAAATGGAACAATTAGAGAACCATTTATTTGTAAATCACAATTGTTTGATCAGTAATTCCAGAGAGTAAATAATATACCAGCAAAAAAAATCTGATTTAAAAAAAAGTTTTGAATATGTATTTCATGGTGCTGATTTCAGCTTTAAAATGGTAGGTTGTACCATTTTTATCTGGAATAATATTCTCCTTTTTACCTGAAGGAATATATTGAAATAATGCATCTTGTTTACCTGGAGAGTCTGCACTATTTCACCTGGAATACATTAACCTTTATTTACCCGGATTGTGTTGTTGCTCCCTTTTGGGGCTACACTGTACATATAGTAAAATCAAATTATCGTCGAGTGTCTTGATCACATCAACACCAGCCAATCACTTCAATAACTGTAGGTATGAAAATCAAACAGTTGCTTGCAGGGACACGTAGATAAAATATATGATAGATTTTTTTTTTTTTTTTTATCCTATTATTGTTGGATCTGTCAGATATTTATTTAAGAGATATCTGTATGCTATATTAAACAGTATACAGGTGAGTGGCTATGCACAACAGGTGTACTAGATACTAAAGGGCGCTCACCTGTTGTTCAAGTTAAAGCCCCGGTGTTAAATCAGGTGTAAAATTACACTGCACAACTGTTACACTTGACATGACGGCCTATATCAGTTGTCTTCCCCCCTCGAATCCTCCCGTTTTTTCGGATTGTTTGAGATATATTGTCAGTGTTTGTCAGTGTTTTCGCTGGTTGAGTGGTTACATGTATGTGTTGCTGTGGTTTATATGAGGTGGAATTGTGCTATTTTTTCATTACTAACTGAGCCTGTTTTGTGGTGTATGTTAAATAGACAACCTGTGGACTGTTCCAACATTATCTCACGAATTAGCATGAAACCAACATATTAATAGGTATGTAACCTATTGCTGATGATAAAAGCCTTGAGACACAATCTGACCACTAATTGGGATAATATCACACATTTTGTTTTTTTTTGTTTTTTTCTAAACATTTTTTTAACATGTATGGTCATCATTTATATCCAACTACTAATTAAAAGGTAGAATATCACAGATATGGTCATCACTTACATCTGACCCCTAATTAACAGATAAATGTTTTGTTCAATTACAGACAAAATGTGTGTGGCGAGACTTCGTTTGAACCGGTGTTGTCGCTCCCTCCAGCAGCTCTTCGTTGTCATGGTAATTTTGGCTAGTTTCTCCACCCTGCTCACCTTTCAAATTGGGACTTACTTACCCTGGACAGATTCAAAGGATGTGAGTGTCCGTGACCCCCAACCCCCTGGGCCAGACATTCACCGCAGGATCGGTAACGCGCCCCGCCCTCGACAACGACAGATGGAGGATCACCACAACCATCGACATCTGTCCCAGGCATCCAAGTCTGCACAGATTCTCGCCAAACTTCTACAGGTAAATCTCACCGATCTTCTCCCAATTTCTACAAGTAAAATCTCACCGATCCAACTGTTCGATTTTTGATATGCCTGAAATATAATGAAATGTAAACAATTTTTGAAAAAGAAATCCTCGGATGGGAAGGTGCTCAAAATAAGGACAGCATATCCATGAAAGTGGATATTTTTGCCTGTCAGGAGGTAGCAGCAATATTTAATTTTAGATCTAACTTAAAATCAAACGTAACCCTTTCACCCCTATGTAACTTTAGTAGACTCTACCATGCATTGATCTGGATGAGTCCATTATGGTCTACAGTGGTGAAAGGGTTAGATGGAAAATTGATGTTATAGATATTTAAAGGGAGTTTTATGAAATCAAATTATTCTTTTAAATCTATTTACCGCACAGAAGTCACTGTCTTTAGGTGCTAAAATCAAAGATAGCTTAGTTGTTGGCTTGCCATAGGGAATTTCAGATCCAGGTCATAATCAAATTTCAGCAGGTTTTATAAATATTTAATTTCATTAAGAATTTGAGTTATGGTTTGAAAAACTAAACTGTACTGACACTGCTAGGTACCAAGATCCTAGATGGCCACTGAGTTGAACATTGGTTATGGCTAATGCAGGTCTTGTGGGCCTTTTGTTAAATTTATAATGTGCCCAACATCTGCTGGATAAGTATTAACTGTGATATTTACTGTAGCTGTATTAAATCTGTTTTTTGTTGTTATTACATTATTTGTCAAACACCAGTACACTGCCCTGTTGTTGACTTGTGTGCTGGGTGTGATCAATGTGAAGTCATTGTTGAGAAGAAATCAAAAACAGCATTCATAAATGTCCATGTCATTTTCCATCAAAGGTTGATGGAGTAAATTCTCTACTTTAACTTGCTACTCATGTGTTCAAAGTTTCAAATTAATAACTGGATCTCTTATGATGAATTTTGAAGTTCCTATTCTTTATTTTGTATTTAACATTTAATAGCATAAAGGGCAAATAATAATTCATAATTGTGTATTGAAAGAATAAGAAACTCATTTATATGGCCAAGTTTACTTTGTCTGTGAGTATGGAATCGTTCATGACCTTATGTTAGATGATAAATGATTTGCAAGCATTGCATGGTGTTTTCAGGATAGATTTATACTCAATTTATAGTGTAGTTTTGTTGTTAGTTAGATAAGGACATTTATTTGATAACAGCAAAGCTGTCTATTGTTCTGGGGGCTGTTAAGGGTAGGGAATGGAGGAACTATTGTACGACACCAATGAAAGGAAATTCAAAGACTGACTTTGAGGAAAGACTATGAAGACCCTTTAACTCATTCACCCCTGAAATTTCATAATGAACTATTCCAACCTTTGAATTGGAAGACTTCAATTATGTCTTCAGGGGTGAATGAGTTAATACTTGAGAAAATTTGATGATCAATCCAGAGTAAGACAAAGAGGTTTTCACATGATCTTGAGAGCTCTTTTAATGGACGAAAAGTTCTAAAATGTTAAAACCTGTAATATCAGTAAAACTTGAGGTAGGAAGTTTCCACAGGATTTTGAATGCTACTGTTATAGTCAGGGAATTAAGAGAATGTTCAAATTTGAGAACATTTACCGTAATATCAGTTCGGGGTGAGGCAGGGAGGTTTTATTATGAGTATCAGGGTTATACTGTGGACATGATTGATATGGTATACACATGGGTAATGTTTAAAGCAAAAATAGAAATCTTGCTGACTTCACACTTAGACCTATTTCACTCCAGTAATTCAGATATCATCAGTCCCCTAGGCTTCCTCTCACACTTTCTCTGGCCTTCCTCTGTGATAGCAATTAAAGCATTAAACAGGAACTGCTCTGAGAGAAGTGAAAAATGTACCGAAAAGGTGATTCAATGGTTTAACTATGTAATCTGAAGATTATTGTAGGACCTGGAGCTTGACATTGACTGTAAAATTATTAGGTTTATTCACCCCTGAAATGTCATAATGAACTATTGCAAACTTGGAAATGGGAAGAGTTCAAATGTGACTTTAGGGGTGAATGGTTTAACTTAATTCAATGTCTCCATGTAAATAAAATGTTGTTTTCTGTATTCAAAATTAAGTTTTGTCCAAATTGGTGTGGTTTCTGTGTTTCCTGAGAAATAAAGACTTTTACACAGCTACTAGAAATTGGAATCAACATCTTTTTGATTTATCTGCTTTGAGATTGAAATGGAAAACTTGACTCCCTTTTTGCCAGACTATTCCAGCTGTCTTCGTTCTGATAAAAAGCAGTACTTTTATACAAATACAACCTGTTTTTGTAAGATTTCAGCCCACAAGAGACACGTTCACAAAAACATTTGGTCTTAAAGTAAATTTGAACTTGAGGGGCCGATTTCTCATAAACCGTAGCTGTTTATTTGTAATACATGTTTCTAATTTCTGAAACCAATACATAGGCCTTTGTATGAAAATATTTCTTCCTGATTGCTGTGATAGGGTTTAGAGGAGGTGGTGTTTATTTATCTTTAGTTACACAACTACAGCTAGGCAATCCATGTATACTGATGACAACAGGTTATCAGGTGATCTCTGCGGAAACAAACAGCCTTTTTGTGCCCTTGTGCGTATGTGAGAGATACCATGCGGTGCCCAATGATTGTGGAGTATAACTTTAAATTCAATCTCCGCCTCATCCTTATTGGCCCTCGGCGCAAACTCACAGATGATCATGATTTGAAAAATATTTTGTAGATAAATTGCAGCTGAATTACAAAGTATGGTAATGATTATTGTAATATAAAAAATCAAAATTAATGTGACTATTAATTCAGTTTGATATTAAAGAAAGCGACATGCTGCATGAATCCTTTTTCTTTGATCAAGGGATGGTACAGCTTTTGGTATATAAAAACAAAAACACTTTTAACCGAATAAGATTTTGACGAATTTTTTTTTTTTTAATTTTGCCTGCAACACTGCTATTGAAGTTTGGGCTATAATGGTAAATTATAAGAATTGGATTACAATTAAGATATTATCAGTGCAGGTAATCTTTAGACAGGTGTAGGGTTTGGACATCACAAGTAATTAATAGATGACACAGGTGACATGTGGCTGGACATAGACCTGACCTTCCTGTCCTGTAGATGGCCAGAGGTTGACCAGTGTTCCATTAACATTCCCTCGGGTGGACACGTCGTGGTCATTGTTATTATGATGTACAATAATATTTATGTGGTGACACGGTGTTGGGAAGGCGGATTGATAGATTTAGGAGTGTTGGACACACACAGCTATTTGTTCACCATCTACTTTTGCTTGAGATTTTATTTCACCTTGACCAATGTCTATATTGACCTGTCCACTCACCCGAATATTAATTTTCTGATCAATATTACCTCATATTTTGTACAGTGTAATGACAGTTAACCAGCTGTTTTAAAAGTTCAGTCCTAATTCAAGTTGGTGATGATATCTATAATATTATCATATATAAGGATGAGACACATTGGACGTCATCTGCATTTGTTAATTGTTTTGCTTCTATTTGATATGGGGCAGGGTTAAGTTTAATTAACACTATGATGCATACATTAAATTTGTGCCTAATTTTAAGTTTTGCAATTATTGCCAATTAATAAATGATATATGTGTTGACAATTTGTATGCAGTTGAACTCTTGTTTATGTTGAACTAAAAAAAGTCCATTAAATTCCTTCGAGTTAATTCGAACAGGTGCAGGCTTCGTAATTTCTCTCTTTCCTCCTGGCTTTGATAAATTTGACACAAATTGTATTTAAGATAAAAACAAAATGAAAAGAAATAAATACACAACTGTAGTTAAGGGGACAGTGACTTGATATTAACATTGTGGAAATGGTCCTTTCCTTTTTTCAGATAGAGGACCAGTTGGTGGCTATTTCACATCGACGGAGGGTTTTGGTGCTGGGGTCCAATCAGAGTTTTGCCCGAGAGGGTGATACCCTCAGGCGATCTTTTATGGAAAATGACCTCAAAATGGTTGCCAAAATTGGTGAGTTCTCCATTTTGACTGCGTAATTAGTGGAAAGGATTTCTGCAAAAAGGGATTGCTTAAATATTTCATCCAAAGAAACTTCTGTATTTCTTTATATATATATATAATAGATTGACCCTATTACTGTATTAACTACCAACAATTTCCGAGTTTGATTTGTACCTCAAAAGTCAACAAAGTATGAAAATTAATTAATTCAAAGATTAGGTTTTCGAGCAGAAAAAAATTGCTATACTCCCACAACCTGCATTTATATACCAAAACATTACGGTTTACAGCTGGCCTGGTGGTACAGTTATTAAAGGAATTGCGACTTGTGAAAATGATGACAACATTAAATTCATGGTACTTCTGTTTTCTTCCTTCTACAGAAAGTAGCTACTCATTCAAATGGAAAATTTCAATAGAGAATCTATGTATACCGCTCGAAAAGATTTTACGGAAATCATCAATATTGTGATTCACCTATCATAGTATCTACAAGTCTCCTAAAGCTTCAACAGTGTAATTTTTTCTATCATATTGATTCTACCATTTCAAGAGACAAGAGTCGGCAATGAAATTCTGTTTCTGTAGAATGAATCGGTTCAAGAGAATTTCACCCTTAGTGTGTATCTTAACTCTTGGAGATTAACTAATACAGTGTTGACAATGTAGTTTACCAATCAGGATGTATCTACCACACCAAAGAGATTTCACGTCCAGTGTTGACAATGCAACTCGCCTATCTAAATGTATATCTCACCACTCTGAGAAGATTTCACCTATAGTGTCGACAGTGTAACTTGCCTATCTTGGTGTATATCTTCCGTTTTTACATCAGAATCTGTTTTTGTGAAGTATTTGAGATGAAATAGTGCTTTTAAAAGGTGTGAATGTATAGGAGATCGTACGGGTGATAGTAAACTCTTTCCATTGATAAAGTCTGTGCGGGTGGCACTCACAGGTAAAACACCACTTATTTACAGGGCGGAATCCTCTATATATACATAACACACAGGTATAGCTATCACTGAGTTAGTGCCAAAGAAAGAAAAAAAGAAATTTGTGACAATTTAAGATTCCTGGCCCGAAATTGTTAACAGATAAATGAACTATTATGTGGTGTTGAGAAATGACAAATTAAAATGGATGATTTATAAAAATAAGTTTTCTGTATGAAAGAGATGAAATGTACCCCCGATTACCTGTATCTCAGGTACTGAATTATTCACCGCAGTCTATTTCCTCCCTTTTCACACACTGTAATGAGGGTTAAACTCTTCATGACTGCTTTTATCATGCAGTGCATATATTTTATTATGTATATCATGTTTGTTTTTTTAATCTAAAAGTGGAAGTAATACATACTTACGATTGATAAATATCCTATTGCAGAAAGGCAAATATTCCACTCGATATTATTTCCTGACATACAGTTCACACATATAGCTGATGTTTCCATAAATTTGTATATCAAGCAGTTCAATACTTATATTTACCATTTTTTGGAGTCTGTTCATCTCACTGAAAATTTGATTTCACTAATTTTTATTCAGCATTTTGTTCAAATAATGTATGAATCGTGTATGCTTGTTCAATGAATAGAACAGCCATCGCCAAAGGAGGGTCAGTTGTATCCAAAGTAACAATTATGACGTTATAATAATTATGACGTCAACAATTGGTACATGGCATTCATAGCCTATATTAATGCCAACTGAATTTGGTAGGGTTATATAGTGGCATTGCCATATGATGGTAAATATTTAGTTTTAAAATCATTGTGTCAATGGGATGTGGTAATTAACTCATTCACCCCTGAAATTTCATAATGAACTATTCCAACCTTTGAATTGGAAGAGCTCAAATGTGTCTTTAGGGGTGAATGAGTTAAGTAGTTATAAGTGATCTGCAGAAACTGGGATGCTGTAAGATATAATTACCTCTACTAAAGCTGGTTTAAGATGTGGTAAGTATTATTACCACTCGACTCAAACAGAAAGTGTAATATGGTAAATAGCTACCACCACAGGTATATGAAGTTGTGGGACCCATTTCATGTTTAACCTGTATTGTTCCAGAGAGGCCTGGGGCAGAGCTGTCAGACCTGGAGAAGGACACGGCCCTAGCCAGGGAGTGGTCAATGATCTGGTGTCTCTCACACAATTGTTCCTCAAATATACTTCGACACATTTACCAACTGGTGAGTCATGAGGTGTACTGTAAATAGAACCATTAGGTAGTTTTAAATTTTAAAAAAGAAACTGATACTTTTGAACTACAAGTCGACTTGTGAAAGTGCAATATAAACTTTTCAACAATAGCTACCTTCATTGTTTTGGTCTAGGAAGTGTTACTGATATCAACTGTCAATCTGTCCATATAATATAACATGTATGTTCAATGCGAAACAAAGTTATGTTATAAAAAATATATAACGAAACAAAATCCGTTACTCAGACATGTTAATCTACGTGGAGTTTGTCCTTGTCAAGGCCATCATGATTTCTTTTCTGATAGAATTAACTAAAAATGTTTTCCAAAAGAAAGTTAGCTTCTGATTCTCATCATTGGACCATGATTTTCAATTTTTTTAATCATTCTAATCATCACTACAGCTGTATTTTGAATGCGAAAATCAGAAATTTTTCGTACATGAGACTGAAATATGAACGGCATAGATGATCATTTCTGAACAAAGGGAGAATTCGTACTAAGGCAGAAAAAACACGAACCAGTAATTAGTTGCGGTGTGCTTGACTATCATGCATGTTGAAGGAAAAAATATACTGTGATCAGCAGGATAAGGGTTAAACCCTAACTCAAGTTGTATAGGGGATGTTTCGTACTTTCCCAAGGATAGCCAGGATCAGCATACTTTAACTTACAGATTTTATGCTCGTACTAGGTGAACTGGATACCTGCTGTTGCTAGACAGTTGATGTCACCGTCCAAACTGTGCCTTGCCCAGACCTCGCTACAAAATGTCCTTGAAGGTAAGTCACTTAAATTTGTATATCCTCCCTCCCCAAGCAAAACCAAATAAAAAGAAGTGAGTAATAAGAATCCGGTTGTCTGTCTATCTGTAAATACAAAATTGATCTCGACTAATCCTTTTTCAGTGCCTTACCCGAACCCAAGCTTAAGGTTGTCATGAATGGCTCTACTTGAACATAAGGCTATACCTTGTATGGCCCTTCCCGAACATGACGCTGTCACGTAGGGCCCTACCCAAATATGAGGCTGTCATGAAAATCCCTACATGAAAATGAGGCTGTCATGCATTGCATGGCCTGGCCTGAGTGAGGCCTGAACACAAGCCTATCATTTTTGACTCCATCTGACTTGTATATTCTGATAGTAATAAAACATTGTATAAGTTTCAGTGAATTGTGGAACAGCTGGTCCTTAACATAAGGAACAACTTTTGGTTTAGTTACCGGTGGTAGTTCTGACCTCTAACCTACACTTATTGGGCTGTGAATGTCCTACAGGTCATGATACGTTAACTCAAGCACATGGGAACTTTGTAATAGGTTCCCGAAAAATAAATATTTTGAAGAGAAAATTCTGCAGTATAAATGAACCTGAATGGTGTTGATATAACTGCTTCCGTCCAAAATATTAATGATTGTTATCTGTCCTTGGTAAACCTGTTTCATTGTCAGACAGGTTCATGGTGGTCAGGGGTATTTATACACAAGTCCATGGGATACAGTCCCCTGTATCTATAAACTACCGGGCGGCTTACATCAACACGTACCAACGGCTCCATTCATCATTTCTCTACTTCATAACAGTTTGTGGAGATTTTGGTGCATTTGCCAAGATTTCTCACACTAACACCTTCATGTACGTAATGCGAGGTGCTAGAAAGTAAGGAACATATTTATGGCTGACACTTTGTCTGGCAAAAGTCCATAAAAATGACCATTGACAGTGTAGTCCCTATTTATAGGAGGAAACTTGACAAAACGTCAGTCTACCTTTTTCCTGTAGTGGGTATATATGTCTGTATTTCAATCTGTGTATGCAATCTGTCGCTATCTGTCTGTTTGTTTGTCTGTCTTTGTATATCCTTCAGTCTATATTCATATAATTTGTGTTGAAGTCTTAGTAGTCTCCATCAGTTTCAATTTGTATGTCTGTATTATTACGTGCATGTACAAATTAATGTAAACAGTCTCCACATGTTTCTCTCTGACAGTTAATTTGTCCCAATCATATTATTTGTCAGATTGTTCATATGTGAGTTTGTCTGTTGTCTCTGTTGTCTGTGTGTCTGTGTTTTGTTTATTTGTCTGATAACAGTCAGACCAGCTCATGTGACGACCTCAGTCCTCTATTAAGAGACCACCTATGCTAAGACCACTTACAATATTACCCAATGTAGTGATTTCATTGTGAAGTTAACCTTTATTGAGAGACCACCTCCATTAAGAGACCACCTATGATAAGACCACTTACAATATTACCCAATGTAGTGATTTCGTTGTGAAGTTAACCTTTATTGAGAGACCACCTCCATTAAGAGGCCACCTTTGATAAGACCACTTACAATATTACCCAATATAGTGAGTTCGTTGTGAAGTTAACCTTTAATGAGAGACCACCTCCATTAAGAGATCACCTGTGTAAAGAGACCACTATCAATGGCTCCATTAAGAGATCACCTGTGTTAAGAGACCACTATCAATGGCCCCTATATTGAATTTATTTCATTGTGAATTCAACCTGTATTGAAAAACCACCTGTGTTAAGAGACCACTTCTCAAGGTCACTCAGGTTTCTTAACTCACTCACCCCTGAAATTTCATAATGAACTATTCCATCCTTTGAACTGGAAAGGTTCAAATGTGTCTTCAGGGATGAATGAGTTAATACAGATTTAACTGTACTTGTTATTTGGTTTTAATACTATAAATTGTTACTACCTTTCCAGAGCCGTCCCCATACAGTTTCTGTAACGTACTGTCTGACTCCAAAACTTTGCCCCAGTCTCCACGGTACCCCAGCCACACCCTCCAGTACGCCATCAAGCCACCACGGTCCAAACTGGAAGATGTGGTGGTCACCAAATTACTGCATCAAAAACAGTTGTAAGTTTTTCTAATACTTATTTTACACCAGTGTTGTCTTTTATGGATCTGAAATAAGTTAAATCATTTGTTATGCCACTAACCTATAGAAGGAGTGGTATTTTGTAATAATTTGTATGCTATAGCGTAACATGCTTCTTTTCTTATGACAAAGTTTTTAAACCCCAACTTTTGGGATATGTAGGTTTCTATTATGTGATAATAATAAACTGGTAGAAATAATTCATAAATTCAATGGTAGATAAACTGGTAGAAATCATTCATAAATTCAATGGTAGATAAACTGGTAGAAATCATTCATAGGTTCAATGGTAGTTAATCTAAAACAAGCTGATTAAATTGATACAGTTTTCATGGACAGCCAAAGTTTTGTTTTTTATCAAATGTTTTTGCGAAAAACATCATCAGATAATGACATGTATGGTCTGTATAAATACATTTGGTTTAGGAAAATTTTGATGTCATAAATTGAAATAGCTGGAATGTGTTTGGATTTGATTTCAGACATCTAGAGAAAGACGCGGTAGTATGGACATCGCCCCGAGGGTTTCTGTCGCTCGGCAACCACACCCTGGTCGTACGACTATCAGTCTTAGTGTCCTCGCTGTCCCCACTCCGGGTATATCTCCACCCTACAGGGTCACGTCTGGGACACCAGTCAGCCAAGGTAAGGATAAATATGTCCTCCCTCATACCTCATGGTGTACCCCAAATCTACAGGGTCACAAGTTACCCGTTATTTAAGGGTCTGTCCCTTCCTTTCCCTCTTGGTGTACCCCAAATCTACAAGGTCAAAAGTTACCCCTTATTTAAGGGTCTGTCCTCTCCTTTCCCTCATGGTATATCCAAAATCTACAGGGTCACAAGTTGCCCCTAATTTAAGTGTCTGTCCCCTCTTTTTACTCACTGTGTGCCCAAACCCACAGGTTCACAGGTCACATACAAGTAATTTAAGGGTCTGTCCTCTCCCTTTCCCTTATGGTGTATCCTTAACTACAGGGTCACAAGTTGCTTTAATTTAAAGCTATGTTCTCCCTTTGCTTAATGGTGTATCCCAAATCTGTAGGGTCATACCTTGCCCCTTATTTAAGGGTCTGTCGCCTCCCTTTCCCTCATGATGCCCCAACCCCACAGGGTCACAAGTTACCTACCAGTAATGTAAGGGTCTGTCCCTCCTTACGCTGCACTAAAATGTATCATTACCATGTACAATTTAAAACTTTCAATGAGTTAAGGATGATACATGCCTTAAATTTATGTAACACTGTGATATCCTTCCAGGAGTACAACACCATACTGACTGTTCGAAGAGCCATCATACAAGAGTATAGTCATCGAGCGGCCACCAGGTGGTGGCTCAATCTTCAACACAAGCTGGTGGCTCTCCTCCTCACAACAGAACTCGATACACACGCAGGAAATGACTCCGAGGCTTGTGGGTAGGTGATTAGCTCATTCAAAAGTTTAACAAATACCGGAAAGTCATTCTGAGAACCTGTTCTTAAAATCCTAAAGATTAAAAAAAAAATTAAGACTCTGCCGCAAATTATTAGAAGAAATCTTCACCCAAAGTGAAATGTTGATATTCGTGTTAATCAATTTAGAAAATTGAAAATAACATACTCATATTGTTACAGCGAAATGTAAAACAAACTGGCATCTTATTGCACCACAGAAGGAGTGGTAAAATGGTGTTCTACATTACTGATTTGTTCCCCATACAGATGCCCGAGGTGTTCCCAGCTACTAGATGTTGATTTGGTGTTTACCACAGACTTCCAGACCATTGTTCTACAGGTAAGTTGTCTGGATGTTGGTGGTAAGATATTCAACACCTGTGAATGTAGTACTACAGTTAAGTCATCTCTCTTCCTGGAAAAACTAAACGAATATTTGTCTGAGACATTTGTATTAAATAACTACATTCCTCTGATAATCACTCAGGATTGAGTTGACCTTTTACCTCTGGTGAACTTTGATGGTGATTTCACACTTGCCCTCTGACCTTTGTAGGTGTCCTTGCCAGAGTTCACACCCAGCCGTACTGATGTGTTGGAGGACACAGTTGCGATGATGACCTCTGTGGACCTCATTGCTATGGACGTTGCTACTGTGCTGGACGAAGTCGGACAGGACGTATACCTAGCCAATCAGGTGAGGACAGCCAGTAAAATCTTACATTATGTATCATATTAGTGTCATTTACCTTAAATTGGTTAATATTCATGAGGAAATATTTTTTGTTTTCTTTTTTTTTACCATTTATTCACAAGAAAATGTTTTAACCTGGTCAACTTTGTTGTCATACTTGGCTAAAAGATTGTTTTCTGCATATAGGACTGTCCAGGAAGTTTTGGAGTGTGTCTGACTGACCATGACCTTGTCTATCTACTGGACAACAAACAAGAGTTTCGGGCACCCACCCAGTTTCTCAAGGTAGTTATATATACCGATAACTGGTCCACTACAGAATTACATGGTCAATACATAACATGACCACTTAAAATTACCACTATGGAATCACTTATGGTAAGTTTACATCAGGGTCAATATTATTATTTTGAAACATATTCTTCAGGTTATTAAGATAGATTGTATGCAGGTTCATATAGCACGACCAGTGAAATGTTTGTGCAACATTTCAATGACTAGTACTTTGATGTACTTTGTCACCTTCATCAGACTTTCTTTTGTCTGATGAAGCTGACCAGAGTACATATTTATTATTTAGTATAATTGTACTTGACACTGAAACAGCACACAAATAATTCACTGGTTGTGCCATATGATCTTGTATGCAATGGTCAATATTTTTAAGATTTCATAGAACCATGCATGAAGTTGTCAAAGCACAGAGCAGATTATCTAGTTACCCATGACACTTTCGTTTATTTTGTATTGGTCAGTTTGTAATAGTTTAACTTATGATATTTCTGTTACAGATTTATCCTCACCTAAAATCTAGTCAGTATGCAGGTTTAATCAACAAACTACGTCAGACCTCCATACAGTCCAGATCTGCTTCACTGCACGCGCTCAGTGGTGTAGAACTCTCGACCAATGACAGGCAGCAAACATGTCACATGACCTTTGACCTTCACTCCCTATTGACCAGTATGGAGAAGAGCTATCTGGCGGACAGGAGTGACCAAGGGCCAGTGTTGGAAGAAAAAGTCATGCAAAGGTTAGGATCATGATTATTGAACATATATATTTAGGATTTTTAGGCTCAACATTTAAATTTTCCCTGTACAGAGTTTTCTTTGTGTGTAAAAACATTAATATCTTGAATTACAGTGTATAAGTTTTGAATTTGTGTAATTCTTTTTTTGGGTTAAAAACAATTTCATTTAGTGAAATCTGTATTTTTTATTTCACTTCTCATTCAGTTTACAAAATAAGCTTATTAGAATTGACAGACTGTCTATTGATTCATAAAGAAATATGTGTTTTCTAATTAAGTGACTTACCTCTCATACATTATTCTATTTCAGGCCTGGAGCCCAAGTACAGCCCCCGTTAGAGAAGGCCCCTACAGGTAAATATCACCGCCAATTTTCGTTCTTAAGGGTTTAAAATCCACACATTAGCTCAAAAGTCCTAAGACTGGTTTCTGATGGCAAAGGGGCGTTCAGATGCCCGTTTGTAGTGCGACCACATTGAAATATCACATCACAGATACAGAAGTACTACTCCCTATCCCACCACATTACTTATTATGACAGTAAGCTGTTCTAAGGAATAATTTCAAATAGTATGATCCCAAGTGTTTCCATTGGTAACTTTAGTTGACCAAGTCTGAGAGAATGCACAGAAAAGGAATCCTCGGTTCTTTTCTTATGTTCCATATTAAATGTAACAAATAGTGTTTTTTTCACAATATTTTTATGCCAAGCTTGATTCAATATAATTATGAGCGTTTTAACAGACAAGTATTGATGGTTGTATATTACTGTGTCTAGATAAATAATTTCATTAATGCTTGATAATATTTGAAAAAGATGATCTGCCATATTTTTCATTGAAGTGGATCGTGGGACTTTTACCACAGTGATGTAACTACATGTACACATTGTATTGACAGTGACAGATTTTAATTTTAATTCGAATGTTTCCGTTTCTTTTCAGTAAAGAGACCTGCACAGCTAGAATGTAGTAATGGTAAGAGAATGTTCCTTCATCAAATATTGCTACGATTGCTTGATCGAAAATTAAAATCATTTACAACGATTTCTGTGAAAGAATGTAGTAAATTCCTCCAATGTTTCACTTCATTGCCTCCCATTTTGATCTGTTCGTGATTTCTCTGTCACCCTCTGGAGTATGACAGCTAGGTTGCCCATGGAAAGAAACAATTCCATGACATCAGGGCAACAATAAATTATGACATCACAATCAGCATCTGACGGGGTAGATCACATGCAAATCAGGATAAAAACACAGATTACAAATTCTAAAGGGAGAAAAAGAATCAAACCAGAGAATCATACCAGAGAAATCTCAATCCTTTTGGGGCGAGATTTTGCAAGCCTGAAGTCAGGCATCCACGAATATCACCCCGTCTGGTTGGGATTTCTCCTTTATACCGTCACAGTAGTGGAAGATTCTGTTAATCCCATTTTGCTTCTCATTGTATATGGTAATGACATTTGATTTGTCTGCACATTTCATTTCTCTTTTATATCAGTAGTGATGTTTGCATGAGTTGTCTCCCCTTTGTCTCCGGTTATAAATTAAACCTGAATTAATTGTTATCCCCTCTCTCCTCCTCAGATCCAAGAGATGCTCCTTACCTGTCCAGCATCAAAACCAACCCAGAAATTTCACTTACGCCAACCTTTGACCCCAGTCACCTAACCTATCAGGCCGAAGTGGACTATGAAACTTTCCTGTTAGGTGTAACTGCCAGAGCTAGGAGTTGTAAATACGAGGCGAGAATAGACTCCAGTTATAGTGCAGCAAAGTAAGTATCTATATATATAACCAATCACATCCCTTCGTAACATTAGAATTAATACCATAATAGTGTAGCGGAATTGGTAAGAGCCTCTGTCTAGAGTTTGGAGGGTCATGGGTTCAAACCCCAGTCTAGCCGTGCATTTTTCCGCTCCTGTTACTTTTGGCGCCCGAAGAGATATATCCATGGAAGGTCTCATGTGTCTTTAGGATCAAAGACTTTGGTAAAGGAGGGAGGAATGTAGAGGAACTGAACTCAATCGGTCGCTCGCAACCAGGTAGCTCAATTGTTTAGAGCACCCATCTAGAGTTCAGAGGGTCCCAGGTTCAAACCCTGGTCTGGCTGTGCATTCTTACGCTCCTGTTACAATAGTTCTGCCTGACAACAGTCCCTTTAATCTAAAGAAAGCCTTATTTCATTATTTATGTTGAACATCAAGTATTTTATCCTTATATTCTGACAAGACATGTAACTATTTGTAAAATCAAAGTTAAGCATAAAATTTATTATTAATTAAGATTTTAAGTGAAGCATCCTTCAAAAAATGGAATTGTCATATATGACATTCATTAGAAGTACTGGTATTTTTTAATCTGGAAATATTTTGGTAGCAAAATACATCAGCTAAGTAATGACTTGTCTAGTTAAATAATGTCTGACAATCCAACATAACATACACTAAATGGTTCTAAGCCTCCCACACCAGACATACCGTGGCTCCGTGGCTGGACGTACTGTGGCTGAACGCTGACCTGTAATGATGATACTACATCATATATTAGCCTCACTAAACCAGTATTGAATGTCAGTAACAACAATGCTGGTTCCTTACAGGGAAGTCAATCTGCAATCATGTCAATTATAGGCATATAGACAGGCTGGTGTGAGAACTAGCTGTCATCAGTCATAACAGTTAGTAGAATACAAGCATTTATCTAACACAGATATGTCACCTCAATCAATCATAATTTTTTACTCTATCTTGTGGTACTGGGTAAAGTAAATTACCTGATGTCAGAAAGCTAAGAGCATTGATAACATGGTTAGGTTTTGAGGATAGGGTTCACCATTTAAAAAAGTTATGAGTGTGTATAAGTGAGCATAGCTCCAGGAGGATTGAGGATGCCAGCTGGGTTAGTATAATGGAAAAATGTTACATAACCTTATACAGAGATTTAACCTTTGAAAATCCTTACTATTTTATCTATTACCTTACAATGTAAAGCGTATATTAACTAACAGTAGCTATTCTGCAGTGTTTTCATATTGAATACTAAGTTTAACCTTTCGACCTTAAAGGATGACCAACTACACCCTGGGAGTGGGAGAAAATGTACTTCATGTGATGATAGTGGACCCTGTCCACCCCCTGTCCTTGGTGGTCAGTACCTACACCATCACCATCAGACGACGTGCTGCAGATTTCTACTTACCTAAGTACTCCAACAGCTTGCCACTGCTCACCTGTACTCTCAAACAGGTAAGTTAAATGTCAAACTTGCACACAAAGTATACCAGGTAACTATCTCACCTGTACTATAGGAGAAAGGTAAGGTGGCTCACCTGTTTTCTCAAACAGGTAAGTTGTCACATTGTACACTCAAAATGTAACTATCTCACCTGTACTATAACAAAGGAGAGTGTCTCACCTATACTCTCAAACAGGTAAGTTGTCACAGTGTACACTCAAAATGTAACTATCTCACCTGTACTATAACAAAGTATAGTGTCTCACCTATACTCTCAAACAGGTAAGTTGTCACATTGTACACTCAGAATGTAACTATCTCACCTGTACTATAAAAAAGTAGGGTGTCTCACCTATAATCTCAAACAGGTAAGTTGTCACATTGTACACTCAGAATGTAACTATCTCACCTGTACTATAAAAAAGTATGGTGTCTCACCTATACTCTTAAACAGGTAAGTTGTCACATTGTACACTCAAAATGTAACTATCTCACCTGTACTATAACAAAGTAGGGTGTCTCTCCTATTCTCTCAAACAGGTAAGTTGTCACATTGTACACTCAAAATGTAACTATCTCACCTGTACTATAACAAAGTATAGTGTCTCACCTATACTCTCAAACAGGTAAGTTGTCACATTGTACACTCAAAATATAACTAACTCACCTAAACTATGAAACAGTAGGGTATATTTTGTCTCACCTGTGCTGTATGTATTACCATGTACTTTGCATCAGCTGCACTCCAGGTAGGTTGTCTCTTTGATATGTGCAAGTAAAATAGTCCATTCAATGATACACAAAAACATTTGATGTTTTAAAAGAGAAAAGGAATTTCTACTATGTTACTTTAGCTGTACATTTGAGTGATGAAATAATAAAACAAAAAGGTGTCATAAATTTATTGTAGACACTGATCATGCTGATATTCCTAAAATCACTTGGCCCAAGACTGTAATTGATATTCAAATGATTTGAATAACATTGGATTTTTTACTGAACCATTTTCACAATCAACAAAGAAATACTTTGAGATAACTTTTGAAGGAATTGTCATCAAATATTCACCAATATATTGGAAGGCATTTGCATTTTCAAAATAGTCTATTGACCTTGTTTAACTATATTTTACTGGTGATAAGCCCAGTGAACCTGTTAAAAGAAACATGTCAAAAATACAGGGTGTGCTTAACTATTACTAGAAAGGGTAGGTTAAAAGATTAATGTAAACCTCCTTGTGTTCAGGACTGCAGCCTGCGCTTTGACCCATCACAGCCGTGCGGCATACAGCCAGTTACAGGGAAGGTCCAACAGTGGTCATCATTTGTAGAGATGTCCAGCCACCTGCCTCAATGTGGGGACACGGACAACCCATGTAAGTGAAGCCCTCTTAAGGATGTATGCTACCTTCATCAGTATACGTTTTTTTCCAAAAGAGTTCCACACGACAAAACCTGATGAATATGGTTTATGAATCAGTGGTCATATTTGAAGTTGGTTTGGAAAGTGGATGATATATTTGAAAGTTCACATACGTTGATAGCACTGCAGTATTTCTGAATAGTTTGACAAAAAAATGCATAGGCTAGTGGCATACAGTACATCCTTAATCATCAAATCATTCAGGCTCACAAGGAATAGATTCTTTCCTTTTAGCAACAATAAATCTTATATTTCTTTCAACACATATCATCATGTTGGTAAAATGTAACTTTAGAATAATTGTCCAAATGTTCTAACTTTAAACTGAAATTAAATCTTTTTACAGTGATTTGTAAGCATTATATGGGAAAACGCTTCTGACCAGTTTCATGAATTGTAAATTTTCAAGTTTTTCCTTGTAAAGTATTTTTTGAAGTTTAGGAAAAATCTTTAGTAAAAGAAATTTTCGTGAACTTTAGCATTGCTTTCCTATGGAAAAAATTGATTTAAAGAATTTACTTCAGTTAAGGAACATTTGTGAAACTGGGGTCAAGCCAGTTAAAGAAGGACACAGGAAATTTTGTCAGAATTGGATTTTACAAAAAGATGAAGCATTTTGATAAGTTAAGTATGGGACATTCAGTTGAGTGAGGATTATTTGTATGTTTAGTGTGGTATGTACCATGTGAGAGCTGTGGAAGGATGGCCAGTTGTCACTGGAAACAGGCACGCTGGCAGACATCTTCTTGCACGTCCAAGATCCTGAGCGTTCCCCAGGTACAGAAGTGTTTGGCGGGGAGGAAGCTACTGTTTATCGGAGACTCCACGAACCGCGGGATCCTCCACTACATTCTAGAGCGTATCAACGGCTCCCTCACACAGTGGGACAAAACACACAATCTCAAAATATACCGCAACGTCAACCACAACAGCACGGTCCTCAGCTTTGCTTACTACCCACAGTTCTGGCTGCCGACAGATCACAGACCTGCGTTTGATAAGGCTGTGTACCAACTCATAAGATGGTAAGTCGAGTAAACCCAAGTTAACCTTTTTCCAAGTTATAGCTCTATTATCATGCTTGATCTGTACATTTTACTCATTTCTCTTACCAAGTCCCACAGGATTGTTTCTGATAAAATTGTTTATAAAGGTAATTGTTTTTGAGGAATGCATGACCACATGAATCTAAAAGCAAGTTCTCAAAAACAGACTAAAGCATTATTAAATAAACCTGCATTTTTACTGTCAGAAAAGGCAAATTGGTTTCTAAAGATCAGTTCTGCATGCTGAATTGACAAAAATGGTCGTTTTGCCGGACATATTCAAATATTTTCAGTTTATTAAAAAATTATTTGTAAGAGACTTAAAGCATTATGAGAGACCTGCCCTTTTACTGTCAAAAAAGGTGTTTCTAAAAAACATTTCTGCTGAATTGACAAAAATGGTTGTTTTGCAGGACATATTCTAGTATTTTCAGTCCCTTAAAATTTATTTGTTTTGAGTATAACATTTTGTTCTCACAGGACCATGCCGTTGGAGAACACGACCAACACAGTACTGGTGGTAGGAGGAGTACACTGGCTCGGCAAATACCACCTCTCCCTCATACTCAAGGCCCTCAACAGGTACGTACACAAACATCACCTCTCCCTCATACTCAAGGCCCTCAACAGGAACGTACACAAATACCACCTCTCCCTCATACTCAAGGCCCTCAACAGGGACGTACACAAATACCACCTCTCCCTCATACTCAAGGCCCTCAACCGGTACGTACGCAAACACCACCTCTCCCTCATACTCAAGGCCCTCAACAGGGACGTACACAAATACCACCTCTCCCTCATACTCAAGGCCCTCAACCGGTACGTACGCAAACACCACCTCTCCCTCATACTCAAGGCCCTCAACAGGTACGTACACAAATACCACCTCTCCCTCATACTCAAGGCCCTTAACAGGTTTGAACACTAACCTTCTCAGACTAAGTACTTCAAATGTACTTGGTATGGATTGTCTAAAAATGTAGAAAAAACAATCCTTTTTTCATAGATTTATTTACCTTCATGTATTTATTTCTCAATATGAAACAATTTTCAATGTTGTAAGGGAATAAAATGGTAAAGCGACTTTTTGAAAGGAAAAACTGTTACTGAATCACCACAGAACATATCATCATGTTTATTTTCACATATAGGGAGAGGCTGACTGGAATCCGACTTGTCATGAAGGGACTGGGCGCTGGGTTCCATCAGCTTGTTAACGGAGTTCGCTTTGCACCAATGGTAAATACATTACACAAGGGTGTACAGAACCTTTACAGATGAAACAGCAAATAATTTTTATTTGACATTATCCATGTATATATTTTTACATTAATTACTGTTAAAATTTGATTGCAAACTCAAGTATCAAAGAAAACGTTATTTATATATACATGATGGTCAAAATACAATTAATTTACTTTCCTCCAGAAAAAGTACAGAATGGTCACTTTTAAAATAAAGTGAACGCCTAATGTAAGTAATATCAGTATAAATATAGACATATGATGGTATGTGGACTAGACAAAGATAATTTTCGCTACGGGAAATAGGTGGTTTTAAAATTCACCGTTCATAATTCCCTTGAATACTGTATTAAGGCGAAGTATGTATTAAATGATACGTTGTTTTACAGGATGAACAGCAGCGTCTGCTGGGCCAGGAACGCGAGACTGCAGACTTTGCCGCCCAGCATGGGTTTGGGGTGGTACCCACTTACAACATGACGATGGCTCGCTATAAGGACTTCCTCCAGGGCAAGTGTGCCTGCCACTTCCATAAGGTCAGTATCACCACGGAGACGTGTCATATCTCCGCTGAGGCTACAACTGTTAAAACTATAGTGTATAATATTGTGTTGACATTAGAAATGTGAAGCAAAGTACAGCACTCCCAGGCAATAATTCATTCACCCCTGTATTTTAACAATAGACTGTCCATTCCATGGTGTTTGGAAGAGTCTAAATGCGACTTTAGGGTTCAATATATATTACGAATGACAGCTACATTAAACTTTAAATTTTAATTTGATTGATGCATGCTAGCTCCAGGTATCAATTTTATTGCATCAACCATTGAGTGGAATAACACTACACTGGTGAACTCCTTATACATTTACCAATTATAGTTCATACAGAAAACACTAATGTAAAAGTACTTATTTTTACTAAATGTTAGTGTATTATTGAATTTCAACAGATCAGTACATTGAAAAATTAAAGTGCACTCACAATATATTCAATAGTAAACTCTAAACAGGAACTTCATTTAGCACAGTAATAATTGAGTACAATTCAGATTCAAAGGGTATAAAGCACAAAAAATGTACACTTACCGTATTAACATTATGCGTTTCATCCTCGATACTCCGGTGTTATGCTTACTTCCTTTCGTTTTCTTCACCCCTGGAATATGCCAAGGCAAAATCAAAGGCTCAGTATGCGCCACCTTGTGGATGAGACGGGAAGACTAGTTTGAACCTTTGATGCACGTCAAAAGAATCTGTCGGTCACATAACAGTACAATTCGCTGGCATTGAAGTTGGGTGTCGGTCCTCTGTAATCTTTAAAGGACAAGTATCAGCCTAGCAAATGGTCAGGTTTTTTTTACCCGAGACGAATGAAATAGCTAGCCATGTGCCTTCAATTATGCTACGACATATATTCCAGAGGTTCAGAGAGCGAAAGTGAGCACAGCACCTTGAGTATCGATAATGTAGGCATTTAAGTAACAACTTTTCAGTAACACTGTCATTCCTGTTGGATTCTCATTAGATCATTGTCTTTATTGACAGATAACAGAGAAGTATGCTACCCCGACAGATGATGTGCCCTCTTACCATGTGGAAGGTGATATAAACAGATTATACTCGGAGCTCGTCATCAACCAAATCTGTCAGCGCCGGGCACCAGACTGAGTTAATCGGACATCCTAACACACCTCATACTAACTCAGATCTGGAGTTGTCTGCTCCTTTCTTCCCCAGACACGAGTACTCCACAAAGACATCCCAGGGAACTTCTCTGTTTGTTTATGAAAAGGGCATTGACCTAGAGTTTGGTGTCGCTTACCAGGGAGCACTGGGAAATATCCATGAGGCCACCTGCATTCAATGCAGTGACAGATTTGCCAGAATTTTGTCCTGCAAAAATGCTTTTTTGCATCAATGAACAAGGCCACTAGTTCGACGGAAGAGGGGAGATAATTCACTACTTTGAAACCCTCAGCTAGCTCAACACTTTGGACTTTACCAAATTATTTTGCATTATACTTAATTATCATTTCAAACATCTCCGCACTTGCAAAATCTAAAGTTTGACAATTGATTGAGAAATATTTTGTATAGTTCTCGGCAGATATTTATAGAATCTCTACCTCTTATCTAGCTAGTCACTGAAAAGTAATGGAAATTCTTGTTTTAATGGTTTTCTTCAATATTATTTTCAAGTTTAACCTTCTTTACACCAGAAAAAATGCACGCCCAAACTGGGGGTTTGTTCCCTGGACCCTTCAAACTCTAGACAGACTCTGCCAATTGAGCTAACTGGTTGCCGACTATCGACCCAGTCCAGTACGGCTACAATTGTATTAAATGTTAGATAAAACCATATTATTCATACACCTCACCTGTCCCAATTAGAGCTGACGATCAGATGCCATGGTGAAATGTTTCTTATATACCAGACTAGGACCTTCATGAAAATTGTTCAGTGGGACAAACAATCCTAGAGGCCATAAAATGGGACCAAAGTATAAACTTAAGGTGATGAATTTGTCAAAAATCTGAATTATAATTGTTAATGCTATGATCCTTTTATTCATATTTATGTCTAGAAATGTACATCAGGATTGTTTTAAACAATTACTAGTTTGTTAAAATTGTAGACCTTGGGTAAAAAAGAAAAACTTCACCCAAGTGCAGAAAATTTAAAGGTTTAAAATGGTCATTACAACAATTTTCACATTTTTTGTGTATTACGCAGAGAAATAAAGCCGGTTTGATATGCAGTTATGCTAAGAGGTCAAAGTTCATCATTGGCTATGATAAGTTTTTGGCAGAGTTTATAATGTAATGATTGAGTGATACACTTGTTTTACTGATTGTGGTGTTGGTATTATCAATTCAATTACACTTCATAATTAATAATTATAGACTACAGGGCAGCTTGTTATTGCAAATACATGGGTTTTTGGTAACTGGAGGTTTCCATTACTTCCCTATCCCAGTGTTTATTTGTTTTTGAAATTATGTTCTTACAATTTTATTATCTAATTTTTAAACCCCATTGGAACTTCTCCAGAACAAGAGTAGATCTTCCTCTCTAATTTCAGTTATCATTACTTGTAAGGAAGCGATATACATCTACATACAGGGTAAATCATAAGCACTAAATTAACGTCTATGCAGAAACCTAGCGAGTTTGATGAGATTACATGTAGTCAAGTTTGTAACAATATCAATGGCAATTTTATTCATATTAATCATGTTAGGTAATTTAAGTTTGAAAATATTCAAAGTGCTATATCGTTGTTCTTCCCGTTGTTATGAAAATGTGATTTAAATTGTCAATGCATGACATATTTTTGTATCAACAATATTTTTAAACAATACCCTGTTGTTATGATTAAAAACAGGGTTATGTGTAACGGTGCATGACATAGTTTTGTATCAATGATATTTTTAAAAGTGCATTTACTTTTTTCATTCTACATGTTTTTTACATGATAAATAATATCATTTCGAAATGTTAGTTATCTGTTGTGTTATTATCTATGCAAAACTGTTAACCGCATGTATTAATCACATGTTTGTCGTTTTGTTCAGTAAATATGTAATATAAATAATGCATTGAGCTGTTGTAGCAATGACAATGATATAATGACACAGACTTCGAGATTTTGCTGTCATAATTTAGACAATGCAAATGGGAGTCAAAATGGCAACATTTTAAACTTTAAGAATGATCAAGTGATATAATGGATTGAAAGCTGTTCTATATGGCATTTCTAAAATTTAGTCAATCTTTTTTCATAAACCTCCTACGAAATGAAAACTGGTGAATGATCCTTATATATTTATATCTACATATTGTTTATTACAATTTAACGGATGTATAATTTGTGCCCGATCAACTTGACCTTATACTACAACGCACAAAGTTGATATTGTACATATATATACGTGAAATTGTGATTTCATCATAGAAATCACATTTAAGATCATGTCAACCAAAGATGTTTTAATCTGAAATCTAGTCACCTTGTTATAATGTTTATGCATATCAATGTATAATGTATTGATGTAAATAACTTTAACTTATTGTTATAAAATTTGTTTATTGGTCAAGCTCAAGACCAAAACCTGCTAAAGTCAAAACTAGTGTGAGAAATACCTGTCTTTACTCAAACAGGTGCTCTGGTTCCAGCCATTGCCTTATACAGTTTAAGTATGGTCACTTCCGGATTTTGACAGCTGAAATGGTCAGAAAAACATGTTTTCATTTTATGCCACCTTCCGGTTAACTCGTTCACCCCTGAAATTTCATAATGAACTATTCCAACCTTTTAATTGGAAGGGCTCAAATGTGTCGTCAGGGGTGAAGGAGTTAATATTACATTTCCCTCCGACAAATGAGAAGTACCAGTTATATGAAGTGAAATCTACTGCATAAGCTAATTAATATAAAGTAAATCTGAAAATTGATTAAGATGTGTTGAACATTGACAGGTAGTACCTCTACTCTATACTGGTTGTTGGATGGTGTCATGGATAACGCAGTCGCCTTTCACCAACCCAGCTGGGGTTGGATTTCAGACGTGAAAAGGTATGGGGTCACCTGCCCAGCCATGTGGGTTTTCTCCGGGTACTCCGGTTTACCTCCCACATTAAGACCTCTAAATTGCTATAACATCCAGGCCAACAAGAGTGATTGGTTTAAGTTGAAATAACTTGTTTCATAATTGTTGTAAAATAAAGTTTGAATAAATACTTCTACTAAAATGAACAGGTTATTCAGTCTCGGCAAAATAGTATTTATAAAATCCCACGCCATACAAAGCGTGTGAAAAGTGTGGTCGAAATAAAAACTCATGCTCAAAACTACATAATATTAAAGAGTACAGGTGGACAATTTCAGTCAGATAAGCATTGATTACAATTATTAGTCTGTGATTAATGGAAGACCTTGGTTAGCTCGAACAAAGTCAGTTAAATCTAAACATTGTAATAGACGGATCTAGTTTGACTTCAGCAGGATTTACAGTTAGGTTTTGTGAAAAAATATCAAACCTTTTGTGTTCAAAAAAGAAAAATATAACAAGTAATTTCTTCATCAGGACTGAGTGCAGCTTGAGAAGAACATGAGAAAATATTACCGTTTGATATTGTGCATTTTGTATCATTTTGTTTACACAAAGATATTACCGTAGTTCTCTTTCATTTAGATGTTCACTAAATAGTTTATAGTTGTACATGACCGAAAAAAACACAAGTTGTCAGCAGAGAGTGTATTAATGTACCTCAATACAGTATAACTTAACCAGCGTAATAAACGTTTATGATGAAAACTCGCTAGTTTGATCGTCCTTTAAAAATACTGTTGTTATATGTGTTGAAGATAGCCTTAGAACATATCAATAAATGTTGAATTATCCTAAATATGGGTTACATCATTTTTCAATCCAGTGCACGATCTGCCGCAGTCTTGTTAAGTGTCAATTTGTTCCAAGTTCTAGTAGCAAAATAATGGTACATCGTGACGCCAGATGCAACATTTTCCTGCTTTGCACTTTCTCAGCCTGCAGTAATAAAAACAAAATTCCTCGACTCCAGTAGTAAAAGAAAATGTCCAGGGCCGTTTTTTCAAAACACTGACAAAATATAATTTTATTATTAAGTTATAACCGGAACAAGAAATCAGGCTTGAGCACAAAATCCATGCTTGAGCATGAGAATGGTTTCATGAATACGGGCCCAGACCTGTAGAAGTAATAGAATTCCTGGTCACATAGTGTTTACTGGGAAGTATACTTTTTCTGTTAATTTTGTCCTTCCTCTTGGAAATGTTACGGTTGTACTAATAATATCTCAACTGTGACAAACTTTTCCTGGAATTTGCATCGAGTGTTTTTGTTAAAATTTGAACTAATGACTTGCCATCTTTTGTCATGAGTGAAATGGTGGAACTTTCTGTCAGTGTTAGACTTGATGAATTAGATAGAAACATAGCTTTGAAAATTAATGCAATCCCTTTTAATCAACCCCTGTAGTATATAGAACATAAGAGAAGTGTATATCCTTGAAATAACAAGTATTAATTAATACTGTTATGAAATTATGAAGAAAGGTAGATAATCCTTAACCAAAATATGCCCAAGGCACTATTTTTTGGAAAGGTGCCTCAACATTGCAGGAATGCACCAAAAATGACAGGTATTCCCAAGAATGCACATAATACATGTTGACAAGGATTGTTTGTAACGTTCTGTTGGGTAGCTGTTTTTAGTGATGGATGAAATCTTCAGATCTGGAGTTTCTCTAACTTTTACTAAGCAGTTCCCTGAACATAAATCATACAATGTACGACATACACCTATTGCTATCCGAATTATTTTTGATTTAGTTTTATATTGTTTAATGTCCTATCAACAGCTAAGGTTATGTAAGAATGTGCAGCTTTGTGCATTGTGTATACCTGCATGTGTATGTGTATGCTAGTGTACTTGCCTCCTTGTGATAGGGCAGATCGGATGCAGTCTTTACAGCCAATTATTTTGAAACAAATTCCCCATATCCCTATAACACTTTTATTAATCCTTTTTATAGGAGTCATTCCTATAAAAAGGAAAATTAAATTAAGTATGAATTTTTAGTCACTTTTATATACTTTTAAGACATTTCATTTATTTTTCAAAATGGGTCCTGACTACAGAGGTTCCACTATTTCACATGATGTTACGGTGTTGAACAAGGATGAAGTCATCCGTAAATACGACTTTTGTTTATTGATGTGTAAACAAACAAAGAAGAAGACCAATCACAGTAGAGAAAGGAAAATGTTTATATTTGCATTTTAATGATACACACATGTACCCATTCCATGCGCACAGACTTCCACACTGGTCTTTGGTCCAACAATTACACACTGCATAATTACAAACGGTAACGGTGACATATAATGATCTCCACTCGGTCACTAATAAATAAGTTAACTTCCGACGATGCTGCTGGCTTCATCCAGTATCCATCATTGGAAAGAAAATATAACAAAATCATTAGAAAATAAACATGACTATTTAACCTATAAATAGAACACAAATGCTATATCCCTCTAAACTCTAAAAACTTGACCTTGAGCAAAATTCCATCTGTGACACTGGAGGGATTTTGTCAGCAACGCAAGTAACCATGGTAACAGTCATACATCAACATTGTACTTCTCATCACTAGGAAACTGCTGATAATACTTGAGGCAGATCAAACACTGGCGGGCGGGCAGGCATGCAAACTGTATAGCCTCATTGTACAGCTAGAGAGTCACACCGAGGATAACATCGGGGATAATATACCTAGGTGTCAAAGCTCATACACGGTGCATCTCACTAACGGTCAATAGATATGAAACCTAGGAGTCAAAGGTCACAAGAAGTTTACCACACTAGGGGGATTTACCTAGTCGTCAGAAGGTCAAACAAAGTTCATCTCACCGACAGTTACCAAATATGGATCTAGTTAGGTGTCAAAGGTCATACAAGGTTCATCTCACTAACAGTCAACAGATATGTAACCTAGGAGTCAAAGGTCACAAGGGGTTCACCACACTAACAGTAAAAGTGGAGATGTACCTAGTCGTCAGAAGGTCAAAGTTCACCTCACCAACAGTTACAAAATATGGATATAGCTAGGTGACAAAGGTCATACAAGGTTCAACACAATAACAGTGAAAGTGGAAACATACGAAGCCGTCAAAAGGTCATACAAAGTTCACCTAACCAGTAGTTATGAAATATGGATATACCTAGGTGTCAAAGGTCAGTCACTCAAGACTTATCCCATTGATACCAACAGTAGGAGTAATCCTAGGGGTCAAAGGTCATATAGGGTTCACCTCACTGATGTTAAAAGCATATATATATATCGAAGGTCAACTTCAAATTGCTAATATAGCTGGTACATAAAGTGGAAGGGTAAATGCTTTCAAAGCACATTATCGATGGTGAATAATTAAAACCAGTAAGTGGAACAGCCTTGACCTTTGACCTAAATGTAACCTTTATCTTTCACACATTTACTTTCAAGTTCATACTTGTTTGCCAGAAAAAACATTTCATAGTTAACAAAACAAAGTTTTGTTTTTTGTCATTTTTTCTAGGATCAAAAATTCAAACCCACTTTTTAATGGTAAATCTCCATGAAAGGCATCCAACCTATAAAATTAGATATTAGAACATATTTCAGTTTCTACGTTTATGATCAGTTGTTTCTTCAATAGATGTACATTTTCTCAAATTAATTTCAATACATTAGAAGACTTTTGACTGTAATTGTTTTTAGAACATGAGTAAAATGTTAAATTGACGCTTTCTGATGATTTGAATTTGCTGGTAACTTTTATTGTTTTGTTACCTCTTAAACTTGAAATTGTTCCAATCTAGGCAAAATGGAATCCTGGAAAAAGAGAAGGTGTTTCCCATTTAAAAGTATTAATCCTGCTCAAAAGTTTTATTTTCAAATAACTTTGAGGGTTGGTAGATTACCAGCCTTGCATCACGCTACTGAAGGTGTAAGGATGATGATATATTGGCTACTGCAATTCTGGAGTGATAATATTGGTATACAAGGTACACATTAAGTAGCTTTAGAAGTAACATACTGTGACAGCTTCAACACAAGTAACCTGTACAATATATATGATCTGTTGGTAACTCGAGACTTCGTAACTACGGGATGACCAATTTGATACAGAAACTTAATTCTCAGCCTATCTGTTAAAACCTTGTTTGGCTTATGGAGAATTTTCAAATTATTATTTTGAAAATTGTCTCATTTATGAATACTGTGTACATTATGTATTTGTATTTTTGCTTTCAGATCATCATTACGAATTTTTCAAATACAAGCTTTGAATTTCTCATTTAAAAAAAAAAAAACTTTTGCAAAATAGCTGAAATTTTCGTATTTAATTGGTGCTACACAAATCAGGCTTTGAACAATTCTGCCCTATTGTAAAATATTGTAAAGAGGGATATCTCTAACACAATAAAGTATAAACACCATATAAGGTGTGTGTTTTTCAAAGAGAAAGGCTGTTCTGATTATATTTACTATCAGTCTTTTCGAGTTTTTCAAGATATCGCTTTTCAGAAATGTCTTCAAATTTGATATAGATGTGTTTCCTGTCTTCAGTTCAAGATCTCATTCAAGTAACAAATTTTAATAAATCTAAATATTGTAATCGGATTAAAGTCGGAAACATTTGTGGTAAGTTGTTCACAATCAACCAGGTTGACAAACAATAGGAATTGGATGACGTTGATTAACAATCAAGGGCTACATTTTCAGTATGTCTACATAACAAATTCTCATTGGTCCTGGCTTTTGTGTCAGTTTCCAAATAAAACAAGACTTCCTCACTCACTTTCATACATTTTGTAAATTGCTCAAGATCTGTCCTTAAACTTGGGAAGCAACCAGACAGCTGACGATGGAGAAGTTGGCTTTACCATTAAATCCCTAACCCACCATGGTAAGTTTATAGCACTATATAGCAGAATATATTTCATCAGTAGGTGGTAAAAATATTTTGATTTAAATCATTATGTTGTACATTATAGATTAAAACGTTGACATCTCCCCAAATGCTGGCCGTAGCTTGTTGACGTAGGAAGGATCAGTCACGGAGGAAAATGAATACACAGTTACTATATCCTGCCTTGACAAGTAGATCACGCACACGCATTACTTGTACCTATGCATGTTCATTGTGTAGATGTACCTTAGAAGGCTCGTACAATTCTAGGGCAACATGTTTAAAAATATGTATAGTCCAGCCGCGGGACACACAGACCACTACTTACACTATAGATACAAGGTCTGTGGATCCCGACATATATATATATACACACCAATCCCTCATTCTTTTTTTTATAAATAAAAGTTGGAAATAATTCATTATCATCATGATTACTATATAGATATAAACACAACAGAGGCTACACAAAGTAGCATCATTGGAGCGTGTCAATCCACAGTAAGGTAAAGCCTTATATATATATATAGTTACAGATTCATGGAATAATAGATTTATCTGTCACATTTCATCTCCATATATACAAATAAATCTTAAAGCAATAACAGAAACAAAACAATAAAATCATACTGAACAATGTAGGAAAATAGCTTAAATTTTTTAACAAGAACAAGCACAATACAGTATATATATAAAGCTATAGATTGATATTGAGTCAAGTTTGTATCTTAATAACATAAAATACTAAGTATTCTTTCTATCTTCACTGATTACAAGTAAGTAGTCGTCCTTTATCTGTCACAAAGAATGGGGTAGAAATTACTCGCCAACTTCCTGTAAGTGACTTCCTGTCAGTGGTCACATTATACTGAAGGTTACAATAACCAACATAAAACCTGCAGAGGTCACAGTAATCGCTAAATGACCTTCATGAACAGAAGTTATCATATGACTTGTATCAGGTTGTTGTAGTTGACTCATTACCCTAATCTATTGTAGCTAGGCCACAGTAGCCATCACATGACCTCCAACACCTGTAGGTTACAGTAGCCATCACATGACCTTCAACACCTGTAGGTTACAGTAGCCATCACATGACCTTCAACAAGCATAGGTTACAGTAGCCATCACATGATCACCTTCAGCAAGCATAGGTCACAAAAGCCATCGCATGACCTTTACCAATTGTAGGTCCGTTAGTCATCACATGACCTGTACCAATTGTAGGTCAAAAAAGCCATTGCATGACCTTTACCAAGTGGAGATCACAGTAGCCATCATGACATTAGCCAATTGTAGGTCACAGTAGCCATCACTTGACCTTTACCAATTGTAGGTCACAGTAGCCATCTCATGACCTTAACCAATTGTAGGTCACAGTAGCCATTGCATGACCTTTACCAAGTGTAGGTCAGAGTAGCCCTAGCATGACCTTCAACACTTGTAGGTCACAGTAGCCATCACATGACCTTTACCAATTGTAGGTCACAGTAGCCATTACATGACCTTTACCAATTGCAGGTCACAAAAGCCATCACATGATCCTGACCTTCAGCTACTGAAGGTCAAGGTTACCATCATACACTTTGTATAGGTATCAAACGTTACAATAGTTATCCAGTGAACTTGAGATAATAATGTTGAGTAATTTCTACGTATGTACACAGGCGAAGATACCTCAACATTTCAATACTGTATTGTTTCTTCAAAGCATAACAAAAAATATGTGACACCTATACAGAGATGGGCGAGATAAAAAGACATTAGGAACATTTCCTACCTGTGGATTGACACAATAAAAGGTGATAAAGATGAACAGAAAGACTTGGTAGATGTCTACACACCCATATACATAATAACAGGCCCCATTATTTACATACAAGTAGGCCCTGTGAATGTACAATGTATACATACACCTCATTTACATATAAATAGGCCCTGCCAATGTATAATGTATACATACACCTCATTTACATAAATTTTTTATGAATACATAGACAGGTATTTACATATAAACAGGCCCTGTGAATGCAGTCATAAACATGAGTTATTGATGGATTCATGTCTACATAAACAGAAAACCATGCATCAACAAGCCCTGCTTACCAATGCGAGACATGTATCTGTACAGCAAAATTAAAATGCACCCTAGTATTTCAACAATTACACTAAATCACTTATGAAGTTCACTATTGTAAACCACGTCATTCAGAACTTCAACACAATGTTACACCAGATTCTTACATTTTTCAAGTCAGTTTTTGCTTCATACCCTGATGGAAAAGAATATCATATTAATGCTGATACTTAGACATCTTATATTTCAAGCACACCTCATCATCTTGATCCAATTTTTCTGGACTTTTAATTAAGAAGGTTATTTTTCATTTCACTCAATGTGTTTGTTTTATGCTAACATACAAACATTATTTCATGTGATATTTGAAATCATGGTTGATGCTCAATAGAAACTTATTCAAAAAATAAGAAAATAATTTGAAATAGAAGTTATCTACAATATAAACAATTCAAGCTGAAGAAGATTAACATTTCATGTAGATGAAGTAGCAAGGAAGTTGTGCTCTGGACAAACTTTGGTATCAAAACTGAACAAAGGGACATAACTGTACACAGCTGAACACGAAACGTAGTTTCAGGGTATGCGTCCCTTTGCTATCCAAAATGTTACTTGCATACAAAATTTGGCCACTGTAGTTCACAGGGTATATGATAAATGCTCCGGAACCCAACCCCCCCC